TGACCTCATCTTTGTTGGGTATACCAATATTATTATTTTGTGACAGACTACTTAAGTTTCTATTGAGTTATGTTCATTAACATTGATCTGTTCGACGCACAAGTCTTTGCGAAGTTTTCAAGTGGGCAGCGCATTTGACGAGCAGATGCCAGTCAAAGGGTTTTATATAACCAATTACAAAGGCTGAAAGAGATTGAAAAGAAGGCGTGGTTGGGGGGTTGAGGGTCACGGCAATTATCAACAGCCTAATTGGTCCTCTGTTGGTCTTTAAATCTCTTATTTCCACGTCTCCACCTGGTGACCAAAGACGTCCTCCAAAAATAGCAGAGTCGAATTTTCAGTGACTTTTAAGTGAAATGTAAATACGATATATATATATATATATATATATATATATATATATATATATATATATATATATATAGCGAGAGAGACAGAGAGAGATGGGGGGAGAAAAAGAGATTGGTTGAGACATGTAGAAAGAGAGTGAGTAAAAGAGATGGCGGAAGAAGAAGAAGAAGAAGAAGAAGAAGAAGAAGAAGAAGAAGAAGAAGAAGAAGAAATGCAGAAAAATAAAGCGAGATTTGGAGAGAGTGGTGTATAGATATTTTAAAAATAATTTCCCCCAAGTGAGGCAATAAAGCCACTAAGACGCAAGAGCTTACTGATTGTGAGAGAATATGAGAAAAAAATAGATCGAGGAAAAAAGAACAAGAATTAAGAAGATAAGGACTGACATTGTATTTAATTTTTTGAAGATCAAAATTGATTGGAAAGTAAAAAGCCGGATGAGAGTTCCACAAGCGAAGTGCGAGAGTAGAAAGTGTTAACATAGAACTTACGGTTACATCTAGCCAATTCAACTGTAAAATGATGAGACCTTGCCGATAATCTAGTACTGCGCTTAAATTCATAAAGCCTATGTACCAACGAGGAAAGTACATCAGAACAATTGCCATGAAAATATTTATAGAAAAGCCACAGAAAAGCGTTGTGAATCTGACTAAAGACGAGATGCCACATCAGGGTCAATAACATTGCAGATTCTTCTTTGGATTTATCAAGAATCTTTAAATACACAGCAGAAGTACCAGACTAGATGAGACAGCAATATTAAATGAATGAATGAACGATAGACTTATAAATATCTAAAATAGATGCTGGCGAGATTAATTATCTGGCATGAAACAGGAAATCAACTAAAATGGCAAACAATCGACTGAAAGGCGTAGAAACAGAAATCATTTCACTCAAAGACATTTTGTTCCACACAATCTGGTACAATTCTGAGTTTCATGCATATGGCAATTTTCAGGTACGGATTGGGTTTCAATCCATGCCTGACGATTGCCACGTGTATGAAACTTAGAGTTGCCCAAAATGAGTTGCACTGACTCTGCGATATATATATATATATATATATATATATATATATATTGGCTGCATGTTTTCATTAAGACGTGTCTCATTAAATAATTTAGAGAAGTTTTGTCTACTTATTTTTAATCGTATCCTCTCGTAATTACGGCAAGTTTTTTTGTATCCTTACTAAAGAAAAAAAGAAAATTACCATGTTGATACATATTCGTTTTACTCCGAGTACTTCCGACATTAGAAAAATGCCATCATCAGGGTCTTGTTTTTCACTTTACACGTAAAAACATTTATATAATAAACAGTCTCATATAAATAAAATTCATTTAAATATTTATTTATTTTAAATTTATATTTTTTTATATTTTTTATTTATTTGGAAATATTTGTCGTTTATCTAATAAATAAATTTATTTAAAAATAAAATTTATATAAAAACATGTCTCATTAAATAATTTAATTTATATAAAAACATGTCTCATAAATTATTTAATGTGCCATATATATAAATATATATACTTTTATATATGCGTGTGTGTGTGTGTGTGTGTGTGTGTGTATGTGTGTGTGTATATGTATGTATCTATTTGACACATTGGTAGGAGGTGTAATAATGGCATATCTGTTATCAAACAACCTCAGGAAATTTCATACCTCTATAAAAGAAAATATACCTGCGATGTTGACCTCACAGCAGTATATGACTATATCAATATATACTTCCTCTTGTCATCCATTAGAAACCGCCTTCTAAGCTCTGCTTCCATTGAATGTCGAGGAACTATATCGGTCCACAAAAATCAAATATGCCCGGCGGGGATCCTAATACGAAAACATTACAAATCGTATCAGATGTATGACAAGAAGGAAATGAGAACCCCAGTGTATTTAATCTTTTTCTAGACTATATTCTGTACATATACAAGCATATCTGTGAAGAGATTGGCACATCATTTAAATATTCCGTGCCATAACCCAAATGAATCTAATAGAAAACAGCGTTCTTGATTTCCTCCCCAAGAGGGACGGTGGAGTAATAGCAGTTCGGATTGAGAAATCGGAGCCGAGTTCGAATCCCAGTCGAATCCATTACATTCACTTACGTGCTAATACCCTTGGGAAAGGTATGAATCCTCTTCTTCTCCCCCAGCTATGGGTAAATATCAGGACAGATCGAGATCTATAGCCTTGGATAGAAACTGGTCTACTGCAGAAAGAAATGGCAACCTACTGCGGGAAAAAATCTGCCTCGTCAGTCATGTATCGAAAGATACCTGATCGCTTAAGCGTGTATCACTGACTGATTGACTTTCGAGACCATTATACAGATAATGGAGGGGGCTGTTTCGATGCTGATGACATAGGTATTCATAGTTGGGACAAGAATGATCTTGAACAAAAAGTCACCATTCTCTACCAAATATTCCAAGAAATAGGACTCAAGATAAACCATTCCAAAGCATAAATGATAATCTGAAATAAGAATGAAAGCACCTACATTGAATCCATCGTAAACATATGGAAAGATATGGAATTGGTAAATACTAAAGATTTCAAATACTTTATAATAAATTTAGTATAAGAGCTAAATAAGCATAGAATAGGCTTTGCCAAGGGTAGTTTCATCCAAAACTCTTCTTGTTCTTGTAACGACATTCACCCGGGGTGGGTTGAGCCGGCTCCAATATTGGAGTTTCATGGGAATTTGAAATTCACAAGCGGTCCCCAAACCCGCATGTATAGCACATGAGAATTGATTATAGTGGTGAAGGTTACATGCAGGACCATCCACACTTTTTGAAGGGCCGATTACAGAGACCTGGTGCACTACGTGCCACAAGGTCCCCAAACGACCCTCCGCAGGGTTTGAATTCAGAGTTTTCCTTCTCATAGACCAGTTGCCATCCAAGGCTATAGAACCCAGTCTGTGCTGCTATTTACCCATAGCTGGAGGGAGAAGAAGAGGATTCACACCTTTCCCAAGGATATTAGCACGTAAGTGAATGTAATGGATTCGACTGGAATTCGAACTCGGCTCTGCGATTCCTCAATCCAAGCCGCTATACATTACTCCACCGTGCTACGAAACCAAAACAATAGTCTGAAACTTCGAGTAATTTCTAAAATAGCCTCGTCAGATCGAGACTTTCATACGGATGTCATGAATGACACTAGACTCGTTCAGAAATATCTAAACTGTCAGCTCTATGAGACCGCTTCCTCAGATCAATGGTGAAAAAAGGCTTTGAACGCGTAAAGCCCGAGGGTCTTGGCAAAGATCATCCTTCTTTGAACATTGTGGACTGGCGCTACACAATCTCAAACAAAGAACTGTAGCAAATAACAGAAACCCCATCACTTGAGAACTACCAACAGCAGCGACAACTCAAATGGATAGCACATGTAACTTGAAGAGAAAATAATGATATAATCAAGATGTTGACATTCCACACAACTTCAAACAGAAGGTTAGGAAGGAAACGCCCATCAGTACTGGAAAGAGTTATAAAAGCTACAGGTTTTCCTAAAAAGTGTTTTAAGAGAAAGATTTTATAAATTTCAGCTGAAATATTTCTACAAAACATTAACATGAAAGCTCCAGACATATTTTTAAATATTTTTAAATAGATCAGATCGTGACGTCCATATGGATGTCATGCATGGAACCAAACTCGTTTAGAAATTTCTAAACTCTCAGCTACATTTAACCATTTTCTCAGAGAAATAATTAAAATACCTTTGTGTGTGTAAAGCTTGTGGGTCCTGACAAAAAAAAAACACACACACACACACTTATTCAAACCTTGTGGACTGGCGCTACATAATCACCAAGAAGAGTACCAAATAACAAAAAGCCACATCACCTGAGGTTTACTAACATCAACAACAGCTGAAATGGATAGCATATTTAACTTGAAGATAAATTAATGATGTTGATATCTACACACATAAGTTTCGGAAGGAAGCAATCTTCAATACTGGAAAGAGCTTTATACATGAATTGGATTTCAGAAACCTATATTCCTTAAGAAAATATTATATTACAGAAGCACGCAGACATATTTGGATATATAAACACGCAAAAAAGCGACGTGACAAAAAATATGTTCACGATTTAAAAAACAAAACAAAAAAAAGACAACTTAAACACACACACACACACACACACACACACACACACACACACACACACACACACACACACACACACACACACAGAGATATGTGATCAAACCGCGGTTCGCGAGCCCCATGCGGCTCTTTGGCTATTAATATAAAATATTAGTTGAAATATGCCGGCTGAGTTCCTTTTTACATCACAGTTGATATCACAGTTCTCACTTTCAGTCTTGATTGAGTCCAGGAACGTCTATGCCAAAGGGTGTGTGTGTGTGTGGGGGGGGAAACCGCGGCTCGCAAACCACTTGCGGCTCTTTGACCTTTAATGTACAGCTCTTGGAAATATGTTGCCTGAGTTCCTTTTTTCATTACAGTTAATATAAAAACTAAATAAGAAAATTTCAAGTTTTATAATTATTTACTGTGTATGAATTGAGAACCCATTGGATTAAAACATGAGTTTAATATTCATTGTAATAAAACATATCTGATAATTTAGCTATAAACTAATACATAGATAGATATGAATAGACTGAGATAGATAGATAGATACATATATAAATAGATATGAGCAGAATGTTAGATATGAAGAGATTGAAATAGATAGATAGATAGATAGATAGATAGATAGATAGATAGATAGACAGACAGACAGATACGGTTTCTTTTACGTTTTCTTTCTTTTTGTTGTTTACAAGTTTTCGGTAATTCTCTCTCTATATATTCGTGTGCGTGCGTGCTAGATAGATTGAGATAGATGTGAATAAAGATAGATATGAATAGACGTAGAAAGGCAGAGAGAGATAGAGAGATAGTGAGATAGAGAGGAGAATATGTAAAGACGGAGATGTAGATAGGTAGATAAGAACACGCTGAAATAGATATGAATAGACATAGAAAGGTAGAGAGAGAGAGAGAGAGAGAGAGAGAGAGAGAGAGAGAGGGTGAGGAGGAAATGAAAAGACGGAGATAGATAGATTATAGATAGATAGATAGGTATGAACAGTCTGAGGTTGATGAAAACAAAGAAATATCGTTAAAAAGGGCAACTGAATAGTACGCTTAGCCCAATTTGAAAAAAGAAAGAAAGAGAGAAATCTGTGTTGGTATTGATATGGGCAGCTGAATGAAGCTGTTTCAGCACGTGCTCACCTTGCTCTGTCACTCACCCCGCCACTGCCATCTCAAATCCACTAGAATCGCAAAACAAGAAAGAAAGAAAGAAAGAAAGAGGGAAAGAAAAAAAATTCCCCCATCACCTCAGCGTTGGAATTTTTAAGTCATTTTACCATGGCCTCGTTTGTCAGAGAAGAAGCGAAACTTTGTGGGAGCGATAAAAAACTGTCAACATTCCGGTATTGAAAAGAGTTGGAAAACGAAACATTTAAGAACTTAAAGATGGTCCAGTTGTCAGAACGTTCGCTTTCTGAGCATGAAACCCGGGTTCGAATCTCACCACGATCGATTTGCCATACAGCTGAGTGAAATTGGATAGACGGAACTATTTGGGAGCTGTCGACGTTTGTGCTAGCACGAAATCACAAGTCATCGTGACCGAGGATTTGAGCGAGCTTTGCCTTGTTCAGACTGTTGATAACGCACTCTCTCCCAGAAACTATCACTAAGGTCCATTTAGGAGAGTTGCAATATAAAATATACGCAGGATCTGCGGGTGTTGAACAAATGTGCTTTAGCAGGCGTCTGCAATAGGGATTGGCTTGCTGCCTTAGTAGACGAGTATCCTCGGATATATATTAAAACCTTTTTTATGTTTATACATTCTTTTTATAGATACAAATATCTAACTAAATGGTCTGTTTATAATAAACAGTATTAACGACATTTACCGCCTTGAATCTCCGAGAAATTGTCATAGAAAATATTCGTCCTCGAACTTGTATCCTATACGGAACCGTCACATAGTCTGGCGTGCCTTTACCGAATGAGCCACAGAGCAGCGTTTTGGTTAGCAAGGTCGATTTTACTGTTTTTAAACTACAATTCTCCCCAATTTTCTTTCGTACATTCATATCTGTTTATAAGAAAAAACAAAACAAAAAACAAAAAAAAAAACAAAAAACGAACGTATAAACATAAAAAATGTTTTAAAATAGTTGTCGGACTTTGTCCATTTCAAAATGTGTGATGTCATTTGTTTACATTTGGATACGCATCGAGCAGATATGAATGTACGAGGATGTATATTTTCTATGAAGATTTCTCGGACATACAGGCCGGTAAATGTCGTTAATACTGTTTATTATAAACAGAGCATTTACTTAAATATTTATATCTATAAAAAAGAACATCAACATAAAAATGTCTTAAAATAATTGTCGGACTTTCTCCATTTTATATATATATATATATATATATATATATATATATATATATATATATATATATATATATATATGATCTCTGGATTAAAATCCAACAGAATGATAGAATAAGGAGCAAATAGAAAAAGCTTATGAATTTTACATGTTTCACTTTTGTTTAAGCTTCATCAGAAATTTTTTGAGATGAGTTATAGAAGACAAAATTTCTATAACTGGGGTTCTCTATTGTTTGTTTTTCATTGGTCAGGTAGATGTCACGTGTTTTCTCTTGTGGCGTTAATGTATGTGTGTGTGTGTGCATCTGGATTAAAAGCGAAACGTTAGATTTATAAACGTATTCTATTTGTTACTTATTTTATACCCCAATATCAATACTATTTAAATGAAAATAAATGCAGTGTTTATTGATTTGCAAAAAAGATTAATGGTTGAAATTACGAAATATTAATGTTTAACTTACAAAGAAGATTAACGGCTTAAATTGCATATTAAATGAAATGAAATGCATCTTTATAAATATTCAATCAGAAACGAAATCAAAAAGTAAGTACCAATTTGGGATACCCTATACATATAGGGTATCACAAAAAAAAAAAAATATATATATATATTTATATATATTCATCATATCTATCTATCTATCTATCTATCTATCTATGATAGAATATAGTTTTTATATATATATATATATATATATATATATATATATATATATATATATATATATATATATATGTGTGTGTGTGTGTGTGTAAATATTTACACTATTTACACTGTTCGGACTATTATCCTTATCTTTATTGTCATATTCACAACGTTTCGACCATTCTACGCTCCAAACTGCTTCAGATGATACTTTTTTTGAATTTCAAACCTAACCGAAAATCGTCAATTACATTTTTCGGACTTTTGTCTTCATCTTTATTAACATATTCACCTTCAACATTTGTGTATAGTTCTGATATGACGCATTGTAACTATTTAAGATAACTATTAAAGATACGGCCAACAGTCCGAACAATGTAAATACATTGTTCGGACTGTTGGCCTTATGTTCTCTGTGAATTGCCGTGCGGTCTTTGAAAATCTAGCGGACTGGCATAGGGTATATTAGAATTAAGTAAAACCTATAAATCTTTTTATATCTGAAGTTGACCGCGGGTAAACGAAATCTCGGAAAGTGGAACAGTGGATAAGGTGGGATCTCTGTATCGTACTATATTTAAAGAATTAATAGGGAATTTCCTCACTATTTTGACAGCGCTGATGTCGAAACACACACCTACGTTCATACACATGCAAACGTTGGGCCGTTAGTGTAACGGATAGTGGCGCGGAAAATCGAATCGGCGAACGGAGTTCAAATTTCGAGTTAGTCCGTTGCGTTCACTTTCTCACAAATGCTCTTGGGTAAACCATGCACTCGTCTCTTTACTCTCAATATACTGGGCTCTGTAGACTTGGGTGGCAACCAGTCGATGAAAAAGAAAACTCAGTATTTCGAACCGTGGAGAAGCTGACGGGTAAACAGTCTGCTGTATTTTCAAAGACTGCACGGCCCTTCACAGAGAACTAAGAAAAGGAATCTGTGGAGAGTAGTGGTCGCCTACGCCCTGAACGGACAGGGAATAGGTTATATTAGAATTAAGTAACGCCTATGAATCTTTTTATATCGGAAGTTGACCGCGGGTAAACGAAATCATGGAAAGTGGAACAGTGGATAGAGCGGGATCACTGTACCGTATTATATTTAAAGAATTAATAGGCAATTTTCTCACTGTTTTGACAGCGCTGATGTCGAAACACACACATATTGACATACATACTTACATACACGCATACATATTAACACAAATACGTACATATAGACATATTTATTAACACACATATATGTATACACACACACACACGTGTGCACACTGATGAAACTAAGCAACGAAGTTTTACACCCAAACAATAAATTTTGCTTAGCTCTTTGACGGCTTCAAGAAGTGAGGGTTCTATGAATGTTGCTTTCCCCCCCCCTTCTAGCCATGACATAATCTTAACTGACACAGCTGTCCCGGTTTTTTCTAGATACTTAAAATTGCGGTGAACTATTTATTCCTCTTCTTTGCTCAGCAAATTTTAAATTTTCTTTTATTTCACATCATATAACCTGGACTAGAAAAGAAGAGAGTGCTGAACTCTTATGCAATATCAGTCTTCCTATATGGCAGCGAATGTTGGACAACCTCCCCACAGATGAAACAGAGGCTTGAAGCGATATAAATATGGCTCTACAGAAGGACGCTGAGAATGTCAGGGTCCGAACACGTGAGCAACGACAAAGTTTTAGAGAAAATGGAAAAAAAAGGAGACTTATACTTAACATCCGGAAGAGAAAATTCGAAATTTCTAGGGCAGAATAATGCGGAAAGAAGGCTTGTAAAATTTGATACTCTTTTAAATATATTTTTTCGTTAGACTCCAAGAAACGAGTACTGAACTTTTATGTAATATCATTCCAAGAAGCATCATTTGATGGAACATAAACTAGGATGTTACGAGTTGCATTGGACATCATGTAGAACAAACACTCAAGAAACGCCTGTATGGATACGTTCCTCTTGTCTCAGTTTCACTAAGAAAGGCTTCGGCTAGTTGGTCACTCCTGGGGAAGTAAGTCAGAACTTGTGAGTGATACCCACCTATGGAGCTCATTGTGCGACAAAAGATCGACTGGAAGACCTCATCACACCTACATTGACCAAATTGTAGATGACTGGATGCCATCTGGAGGACCTGACGACAGCAATATCAGACAGAGAATGGTTGGAAAGAACAAGTCAGAAGTCACTTTTTCATATAAGATCATCACGATCTTATATGAAAAAGCGGTAAAAATCTTCGTGTGACGCGTTTCGACATTTAGGGCTTCATCAAACAAAACGCGTCACATGAAAACTTTTCCCCATTTTGTCATATATTTTTTCCGACAAGAATTTTCTTACATATATAAAAATTTATATATCGTTATCTCATATGTATATGTATGTTTATATTTGTTGTATTTATTCTAAATATGATTTCATTATCTCAAAATTTATGAGAATATATTACTTACCAAGCCAATTATCTCAATTTCATATATATATTTATTAAAGACATTTTTATGTTTGACATTCTTTTTATAGATACAAGTATTTAAGTAAATGCTCTGTTTATAATAAACAGTACTAAATAACATTTACCGGCCTGAATGTCCGAGAAATTTTCATAGAAAATATTCGTCCTTCTACAGGTTTCGAACCTACATCCTATACGGAACCGTCATTTAGCTCGACGTGCCTAACCATTCGGCTAAATACTTGTATCTATAAAAAGAATGTTAAACATAAAAATGTCTTTAATAAATTGTCGGACTTTGTCCATTTTTTTTTTTATTTATATATATATATATATATATATATATATATATATATATATATATATATATATATATATATATATATATATATATATATATATATATATTAAAAAGAAGAGATCCTGCAAACGTTTTTGGTTGTAATGTGGATTTTTACGACACGTGTTTCTTGTCTCGCGACCGTCATCAGGTAAAGGGTGGAGATTTCCACATATTATTAAAAATATTTTTTTCCTTTATGTTTTTCGATGTTAAATATTCTCGATATGAGACATTCTCTGTTTTTGTGTTAGTAATCCGAATGTCTTTCTTGAATTGGCATATATATATATATATATATATATATATATATATATATATATATATATATTCGGCTAACCGGTCACTCTAGGAGAAGTAAGTCAAAACTTGTGAGTGACGCCCTCCTATGAAACCCATTGTGCAGCAAAAGATCAATTGGAAGGCCTCATCAGACCTACATGGACCAATTTGTAGATGACTCTGGATGCCACCTGGAGGACCTGCCGACAGCAATGTCTGACAGGTGGTTGGAAGGAACAAGTCAGGAGAACCTGAGAATTCTCGATCTGATGATATGCCAGACTTTATTATATACTGAATATATGAGATATATATTTATTAAGTTTAGATAAGTATGGCACAAGGCCAAATACGTAGAAATAGGGTTAGGTTAGGAAGATTGTATTGCGTCAGTTTTGCAAATGAGGACAGACTATCTGCTTTGATGTTTAATCAAACTTAGCTAAATACAGATGACACAGTGTTGATCTCAGACAAAGAAATGAAACTATAGGAACTCCTACGAAAGGTAGTAAAGGAAAGCTAGAAGAAAGGACTAAGCACCAATCAAGACAGAATGTCTTGTTATCAGCAGAAAGAAGAGACCAACATGCGCATTATAAATTGAAAATACCAAAGTCAAGCAAGTGACTACAATTTAAATATCTGGTAAGAGTTTTAACAGAAGATGCAAAGTTCAACACCAAAGTCCAAGGCGTATTGGAATAGCGAAATATGCCTTTCAAAAGCTAAGCAAAGTATTACGAAACAGGAAAATTTCATTAGAAAAGAAAGAAAAGAGTACTGAACTGTTATGTAATATCCATATGTTTTATGTTATGTTATGTAGATATGGCAGTGAATGCTGGACAATATTCTCACGCATGAAGAAGAAACCTTAAGCAACAGAAATGTGGTTCTACAGAAGGATACTGAGAATACATCGAACATGTGTAAATTTTGAGGAAAATGTCAACAAAAATGACACATATACTTAACATCAGAAAGAGTTCTAGGGTGCATAATGAGGAAAAAAGGCTTGTAAAATTTGATACACTCAGGGCAGATTGAAGGAGGAAAACAAGGAATAACCAACTAGCGAGCTTGAGTAAATGGTTGGTTGAACATGGTTTAGGAGAGATAACAAAAAGAGAAAAATTATTAAGTGCTATGAAAGATAGGAAATAGTGGAGAGCCATTATCGCCAAAGTCCCGGAGAGACACGGCACATAAAAGAAGATAAAATTCGAAATTTGCATCCATCCTGTTATGGTATCTTCTAGATGTTTTGCCTCTCCATCCAGCTTCGTATCTCCTTTACAGATAGATAGATATGAATAGATTGAGACAGATAATGGACAGACTGTGATAGATAGATAGATAGACAGACAGAGAGAGAGATAGATAAACAAATTGTCATAGATATATAATAAATTGACTGTGATAGGTAGATAGATAGACAGACAGAGAGAGAGATAGATAGATAAGAATAGGATTATATAGACAGGTAGATAGATAAAACAAACTGAGATAGATAATGAAGAGACTGAGATAGATAGATAGATAGATAGATAGATAGATAGATAGATAGATAAGGAATAGATTGAGATAGATAGATAGGTAGATAGATAGATAAGGAAGAGATTGAGATAGATAGATAGATAGATAGATAGATAGATAAGGAATAGATTGAGATAGATAGATAGATAGATAGATAGATAGATAGATAGATAGATAGATAGATAGATAATGAAGAGACTGAGATAGATAGATAGATAGATAGATAGATAGATAGATAGATAAGGAATAGATTGAGATAGATAGATAGGTAGATAGATAGATAAGGAAGAGATTGAGATAGATAGATAGATAGATAGATAGATAGATAGATAAGGAATAGATTGAGATTCATATATAGATAGATAAGGAAGAGATTGAGATAGATAAGGAAGAGATTGAGATAGATAGATAGATAGATAGATAAGGAAGAGATTGAGATAGATAGATAGATAGATAGATAGATAGATAGATAAAACAGACTGAGATAGATAGATAGATAGATAGATAGATAGATAGATAGATAGATAGATTGAAATAGATAGGAATAAAATGAGATAGATAGATAAACAAATTGTCATAGATAATAAATTGACTGTGATAGGTAGATAATATAAACACTGATAGATAGACAGATAGATAAGAATAGGCTTAGATAGATAGATAGATAGATAGATAGATAGATAAAACAAACTGAGATAGATAATGAAAAGACTGAGATAAATAGATAGATAATAAACAGACTGTGATAGATAAATAGATAGTTAAGAACAAACTGAGATATATAAGAACAGACTGAGATAGATAGATAGATAGATAGATAGATATAAACAGACATAAATAGATAGGTATATAGATAGATATGAACAGACTGAGACACATAGATAATGAATAGACTGACATAGATAGATAGATAGATAGATAGATAGATAGATAGATAGATAGATAATGAACATACGGGTATTGATACAATTAAGGACAGATAGAAGGCAAGCGGAACAGATGAAAAACAACGCATAACCTTAGCTAGCGAGTTTGAGTAAATGGTTGGCGGAACAGATTTTAGGAGAGATAACAAAGTCAAAACTAATTAAGACCTACGGAGGTCATAGAATTTGTGTTGAACCATACCATAACATAAAACAATTCTAAGCTGAAAGCAATCCACTACTTAATACTTATTGAAAATCGAGCCCCCACTTTGTGTCCAGTGACCTCAGAGTTTATCCAACTCATCAAAAATCCGTCTTCTAATATACTTTTTTTTTTTTTATCGATAATTATATTAGTATATAGTCATATTAGGGAAATCAGGCGTATGGACACACAACGGTTCTAGTACAATCACTGAAGTTAAGCAACGCCGACCTTGCTCAGTATTGAGAATGGTGACCGCTTCAGAATGTCAGGTGATGTAAGCTTGAATGTGTTGGTGGTGTAATGGATAATGGCTCAGAATTGTTAATAGGAGAGCCGAAAATGATGTAAAAATATTTACTGGCTTTAAATAACCTGCAAAGGGTTGATAAGCCATAGAAAACGAATCGATCAATGGTAAGAATTTAATATAAGAATAAAAAATTGACAGAAATTCAATAGTAAATTCTGAATTACCCTGCGGTAAAATTTTCATTTATATATATATATATATATATATGGCCTGACGTGTTATGGCATTTAGCTACAGAGGAAGCGTCTATTTAGCAAAATCGAATTATTGCTTTTAAACTACAGATTTCTAATGATTTAAAAGCAGTAATGCGATCTTACTAATCAGACGCTACTTCTGTAGCTAAATGGTATAGCCCGTCAGGCTATATGGTAGTTCCGTGTAGGAAACAGGTTCAACTCCTGTCGGAGGTCGCATATTTTCTATGAATTTTCTCGGATATTCAGGCCAGTAAATGTTGCTAATACTGTTTATTATAAAGCAGAACATTTACTTATATATATAGAAATAATGTATAAGCAATAAATATATTTAAATGATTATCGGACTTATTCCATTTCATAATATATGACGTCATTTGTTTAAGTTAATATACGCTTCGAGCAGATATGGGCGTTCGAGAGAAATCATGAGAAATTTGTAGTTTAAAAGCAGTAATTCGACCTTGCTAACCAGATGCTTCCCCACTCTCTCTCTCTCTCTCTATATATATATATATATGCAAAACACACACATATATATATTTGTGCATTTTGGCAGCAGAAATTCCTCTTTAATACATGTTTCATTAAACAATCTTGACAATGTAATTTTGTTTAGATTTTTATTATGTTTATTTCGTATATATATCAATGTCTTCCTTTCTGGATTTAATGAATATAAAAATAGTCCAGAATTTTTTTTGATTCCGGAAGTTTTCATTTAAACTATAAAAGAAAAAAGATAAAAAGAAACCAACCCTTAATAATATCAATTATTAAAAACTGCCATAATGTACTGGACGGATTTCAAAGTTAAATATATATATATACCTTCAGCAACTTTTATACCGTCTACAATAGTATTTAGATCACAGAGTATAACAAAAATCTTTGAAAATGGCTAACAGTTTGCGCCGAAAGCGCTCATGATCAACAATGGTTCGAAGAACTATTGCATTAATTAAGTACAGAAAAGAAAACACTTGTACACATACAAGAAAATCATAACACAATATTAAATAATAGTACCTTGTTAGTTTTGTTCAACGAAACACACAGATACAGACACACATATGTGTGTGTCTGTGTCTGTATATGTGTGTTTGTGTCTGTGTCTGTGTCGGTGTCTGCGTGTGTGTGTGTTTGTGTCTGCGTCTGTATCTCTATCTGTGGGTGTTTATGTATCTGTGTGTGTGTGTCTCTGTAACTGTGTGCAAGTCTTTGTGTGTGCGTCTTTGTGTGTGCTTG